AAAAAACAATTTCTACACAATAATAACAATAACAACAACAATTGAATATAAAAAAACGCTAACAATTCCTTTGACGAAAGGAAATTGTTGTTGTTGTTATTATGTTATTATTATTGCTTTAAATGTAAGTGTCATCGTCTTTATGGCTGTGATTGACATTATCAACCTCTGTCGCAGCTACAAATCTTAACTATCAAAGCGCGACTCTCTGTTGTATGACAATTTTAAAATAAAAAAAAAAATAACTTCATTATTATCACATATTAGCAAATTAGGGAAAGTAATTACTGTTTAAATGCCAATAATGATAATATGAAGCAGTGAGCGTATGGGCAGCACCTGCCGAAGAGATGAGCAACAGAGGAATTAAATATAACAACAAAAACAAAATAAACAAAAACTTTAAAAAAAAATGAAAAAGAAAAAAAAAGAAAAGAAAAGAATTGTTACACAAATCTTAGTGTTAAATTTGATTTGACATTGCCTTCTTCTTCTTGTTATTTTTATTTTGTGTTTTGTAAAACTGTTTGCTTTTTTTGTTGTTTGTGTGTATGTGTGTGTATGTAACTATTTTTACACTTTTTAACATTGTTGCTGTTGCTTTATAATGAGTTTGATAGGCAATTATGGTTTAATGCTGCCAGTGTCACTAATAAATTTAATAGAAATCAATAAGAAGAAAATAAAACTAAGAAAAAGAGGTAATTGCATATAATTTTGCATTAAAGTGGAACTATTGTATCTTTTTTATTTTTTTTGATATAATTATATGCTTTGTGAAATAAACATTTTTATTATTATTAATAATAAATAACAATTATCCAAAATCACAAAATACATTGTACAGAGTGTCTCCTTGTCTAATAAAGGTTTAAATACATATGTACATAAACTTAGATGAGTTACCACATTTTAGCTCTTTTAAAAATATGGTTTTAAAAAAAATTATAAACAATTTATTTATTAAAATGGACCATATTAAAAACAGACCATAAGCAAGTCATACAAGGCAGTCATAAAAGCAGTGCCCAGAATGACTAATAGCTTTCATTAAAACATTTTTAATGTGTTTAGCTGTTAATATGAAAACATAAACAGTGTTTGCATACAACAGCTGTTTTTTAAAAGCGTTTAGTCAGTGTGAACACCACTTTTCGTTAGAATAGTTTTAATGTGTTCAGCTGTTTGTATGGAAATGAATAATTAAAAAAAATATTTGCATATTTGCATAACAGCTGTTTTTCAAACTCGTTTAAAGGATCTGAACACCACTTTTCATTAATACCAGAGCTTCAAATATTATTTGAATTTTTCGAAGCATCGAGTAAATTTATGCTCGAGTTAATTTCTGGACAAGTATATTGATATTTGAGTATTCTTCAAATTTGAATATGTATCTGCACCCCATATACATCAAAACACCAAAATATAGTTATTTATATATCAAATATTTTATAATTTTTAATAGAATTCATGTAAAAATCATTTTATGGACATGGTTATTCTCGATCTTTACATAATATCAATAATAAAATTCGCACACTATCGCTAAAAATTAAGACTCTGATTTGCAATCGCAATGGACCTTAATGGTCTACAAGTAACCTTTTTGGTCTGCCAGGATAACCTAACCTGTATATTATTATAAAAGCACAGGTTTTTTCCATAAATTAAAGTATTAGTTTCGAAAATTTTTAAAACAATAGACATTAAGATATTTTATTAACAAAGATTTTTCCACACACAAAACGATCAGTTTAAAATAAAATATGTGTAAACAAAGAAAAGGAATATACGGATGATTTAAATCAAGCTTGTCCAAAGCACGGCCCGCAGATAATATATGTGCGGCCCGCGATATATTTCTTATCTACCACAATTACTCTAATTTTCCCTTGATATATTTTGGCAAAATTACATTTTTAATTAAACATTAATAGGATACCGTATCCCAAAAAATGAATTCAAATGAATAAATTAATAAAATTAAATTTAACACTATCACCGTATTATCCAATAAGACCATGAACCATGTATGTACTTGTTTCTGCGAGCCTCCAATTTGCACACTACTTTGTATTGGACCGCGAACGTGTCTGGTATGGACAGCCAGGTATGCTATACAAAAAAGGGAGTGTCTGCCTGTGAGAAAAATCCAAGCTAATTGAGGAATAATATTTTCAAACTTTTTAGTATGTACGATTAAGTATTTCAGAACGAAATTTATTTATTTATTTATTATATGATAGCGTAAGGTTGTTTTTAAATCAAGCATGCTTAAACTAGAACATATTGTTGTTTGCATATACGTTAAAGAACTATGTGAGAGTTTCGAAGAGTGACATTTTGTGCAGGGATTCATACTCGAACATTTTGAAATAATAGTTAAAATAAACTCAATTAGTTTGCGTCTGCATATATACCATAAGTTATAATACGCTGAAATCAGCTTTGAAGGCAACACTCTCACATGTTTTTAATATGGGACACACGATGATATCTGCGTCTGCATAAATAAGTTATAATGGACTGAAACCAACTTCAAAGACAATACATATTCACATATTTTCAATATGGGTTAACACATGAAACTTCTCGCCGAATGGTTTTAATGATGTACCTGGTAGCATCTTTATTGTTTTGATACCTTATGATATAAAAGTATGTATGTTTATTATTTAAGAGGATTTTCGAACAGTAGTAAACTATAACAACAAAAAATTTTTTTAATATTATTTTAATTAATTGAATTTTTATCTGACCATACAGCTGTTGCGAGTATTGCCAAATACCCATTATCAGTGGTATTGGGAATAATTCTTTTATTTAATTATTCACGAATAATTTTTTGAGAGTACAAGTACCAGGAACTGAACTAGTGCCCTGCCAAATTTGAAGCTCAGAGTCAACGCTCCTTAACCAACTGACCCAAAGCCGTACTTGACTTTTATGTTCGCATATTTTTGTGGAGTTTTTGTTAATTTGCTGTGAAAGTTTTATTAACAAATTCACTTGCTGTGTTTATATTAGAACGAAATCATAAAACAGCTGTAGAATAATTGAATTAATTAATTTTATTTTTAATTTAATTTTAATTGTTAAATATCAATACTATTCTGTTTGTAGAGGCATTATTTGGAAATCATAAACCAGCTTTTTATTCAAGAAATATGTTAATAAATTGAAATCAATTTATATGAGGAGTTGAGGAGCGTTTTTTTTTTCATCAAACTATTAATTACTATATTTTTATACTTACCATGATAATAGGTTTTATATTAATAACGCATATATATAATTAAAAAAAATCTATGCTTAAATTATTGACGTTTTCTATTGTTCTTAATGTCATTCAACCCAAATTAGAAGTAAAATCAAAAAAAAAAAAAATAAATAAATAAATAAAGTCAGAGAGCAACTTTTGATTTTGCAATATTTTTTAAATATTTTTTTTTCTTGTTTTACATTGTATTTACGGTTTTCAACAACCACTGTTCGCTCTCTTCCCAGACCTCAGCCAACTTAGTTGCTTCTTTGTTCCATCGTAATTGTTAAGGCAGGTCATAGGCGCTATTTATACGCTTTGTGCGGTACGTTGGCACAAGCGCTTATGCAATTTGAATGTGAATGACCCACATTGGCACGTGAAATTCAAATAGTTTTTTTTTAAATACCGATTTCTGCATACATATCTACATACATACATACATATGAATGTCAATTATTGTAAGAATGGCAATGCATTTTTCCTATGCATTGTAATTGTATTTAAGAATGCAATTATTTTAATTACAATAATTATCTAATATTAGTACGTTTTAACCACCGGGGCGCGTCATACTGCGAATGACACACTCAAATAATATATTTCAACATGGCATACGCTATAGTAAGAAAAACCTGCTACTATATATACCGCAGACCTCTCTTGGAAGTCTTACGTTTTTAAACAGACGTACATATTCTTAGATAAACAGATAAATTATTACATTTACAGTAATTCCCCCTATAACATGGTACCCTTATAACGCGTTTTCATATTACGCGATTTTAATCCCCCGTATAACACGGGCATACCCCCATATAACGCGGGGAATGCATATATTTGTACAGTTCATAATTAACTTCGCGTATCTTAACACGTGTGTACACGGGGTAAACGGGAATACCTTTATAACGCGGAACCGCGTTATGCACCGCGTTATAGGGGGGGATAACTGTATTTATTTAGTTGCAATATATGTATGTACAAGAACTGTAAATATCGGTAATGTTATTCAAGCTTTACTTTCTACCCACATTCCACTACATAAGATAATGTTCAAATTCTGGCGCAAGAAAAAGTCAAACACTCTCGTTGAGGTGCCTCGTAAAAATATGAATTTTGTTGAGGGTTTATTTACGAGTCGCAGCCAATTAGGGAAATATGCTAACAAATTTAATATACCATTAAATTACAACTGTCGAAGTTTTGGGGAGAACGAGGAAAATGCCTCAAATCTACTTTATTATTGCCCAGTATATGCGCGGCATCGACTGATCATGTTGGGCGTTTAGTTATTTGAGAATTATGACCAATTTCAGGACCTCCCTATAAAGAGAATTTTAGATTTCTTGTTCGTTAACATAATAGATAAATAGGCATAATTACATAATTAGATGCTTAGAATCGCCGGTATAACCTAATCTTACAAGGTTGACATTAAAAAAATATTTGTTGTAAATAATTATTAATATTATTTACATTTAACCAATTAAGGAATTGTTGATCAGTATATATACACATCTAAAAACTCGAACGATATTAACATATGGTAATTTATTTAATTATTTGTGTGTTAACATTAAAATTAATTTTAAAGTTAACTAAGAATAATAAACTATACTTCTAGGTCCTTCGCCCTATTTTAACATAATCATTTACTGCTCTATATAAAAATTTTTATCGAAATCTTACTATTCGAAATCTAACTATTGAAATCTATTTCTTATATTTACAGATACGATACTGGTTGTGATGGTTACTTAGATTTGACTGAACTAAAATATATGATGGAGAAGTTGGGTGCACCACAAACTCATTTGGGCTTGAAACAAATGATATCCGAAGTTGATGAGGATCATGACGGTAAAATAAGTTTCCGTGAATTTTTGCTTATTTATCGTAAGGCACAGGCTGGTGAGTTAGATAAGGAGTCTGGACTCAATCAATTAGCACGTTTGACAGAGATCAATGTTGATGAAGTTGGTGTTAGTGGCGCCAAGAGTTTCTTTGAAGCCAAGATTGAGCAACAATTACGTACGAATAAATTCCATGACGAAATACGACAAGAACAAGAAGAACGTCGTCGTGAAGATGAGGAACGTGCTAGTCGCCGACTACAATTCCAACAACGTGCTGCTATTTTCCAGTAATTTCCACATTATATTATATATATATATATAATCAATAACGTTGTGCAGAAGTATGAATGCGTGCAAGTGGGCGTTAAGCAATAAACATACATATATTTTGCTATGTTTTATATTTTCTACAATAATATTTGTAATCCACACTCAAAATTGTAACAAAATTATTAAGAATACAATAACAATAAAAAAAATTATTTTAACTTTTATATAGAATATAGTAAGATCACAATTAAATATGTATATCATAAATATAAGAAGCAAGCAAAAAAAAAAAAAATAACCTATAATATAAACTATTCTATTGTCATATAATTACATTTTAAATAATTATTCATACTATAACTAATATTGCAATTGAACTTCGATTGGTCGTTATGATTGGAAACTGATATTTAAAGACCATATCTAATAAAATTACCTTTTTTCTTTGATTAGTTTTTTAAGTAGTGTACACCTACTACTTGCCTTTTAAACTATTGAAATAAAATATTAATTTAGTATTTTATAACACATTTTTGAAAAAAATACAGTTTTCTCAACGATGTGGATCAGGTTGCATCAAGATAATATTATTTTTTATAATGTAGTTTCTTATGTTTATCAAATAATTAAAAATTTATAAATTAGAAATCTATAACTTCAAAACTTATCATATTCACAATTTCATCTTGGACTAAATTGATTATAAATCAACGGATATAATATGTTTAAAATCTACATAGGGTATATAGATATATATAAAAAAACGTTTTAGTAGAGTTCATTAATCAAAACATATCTTAAGACCGTCAACAGAATCATTAATGCGCGGCGGCTTTTAATATAAATTTCAGCAAAGCAAAGCCTACTACTTTATAACCATTTTTTAATATATACTAGACAACATTCTACAAGTCAAAGAGTTCTGTAGTACACAATAATTCACAAAGAAATTGATATCATCTAATTTGGTCTTTAAGATTCTTCTACTAAGCTTACAGTAAAACAAGATTCCTATAAAGAACCAAGAATTCTGAAAACTCATTCACTGTTTAGTTTACTAAAAATTAGAGTAATCATAAGTTTTCTCTGGTCGAGGGATTTTTTATTCCATATCATCAAAATCATCATAACTTCTATATATACATGAGCAACAATAATAATTTCCAGAAATACTTTTTCTGTAATACTGGTTTTTTAATAGAACTTATTATAACGCACTCTTTGATATTGTGGACATTGCGAAGATAAAAAATATTAACATACATTTTTAATTTATTGAAAAAAGAAATATTAAACTAATATTAATACACAAAAATGCTAATAATAAAAATACCAACCCGGTTTTTAACTATAAACTTCATAGAACCCTTCAATTATTCTTATTTTAATATAAAAATCAAGTCACTAATAATAGAGCTAAAATAAGATGGATAAAAAAATTTGAATTTTCTTAATAACAATTCACCGTTCGAAGTTCAACTGTAAATATATTATTAACTAACTATATTTATAATGCAAACATTACAGACACATTGATATATATATATATCATGTACACAATAAAAAACAAAATCTATTTTTAATTCAATTTTAAAAATATATAAATGTATATATATATTTTTAATGTTTTTTGTTGCAAACTTTGATTGATACCAAATTTTATAATTATTTTTAAAATTAAAGCTAATACTATATTTTATAAAAATAAGCTAAACAGTTTTAAACAATTTTATAATAAGCAAGTTACTTTAAAAAAAAAAAAACTTACGTCACAATTGTTATTTGAGTGCCATTTTATTTTTATTCTTTATTATTATTAAAATCATACAATATATGAAAATTATAAATTTAAAAAATATATATTTTAAAGTTTATATATTTCAATGTTAGTTGCTCAAAAAAAATTTATGTTGAAACTATTTACAAATATATATATTTTTGATATTTTTATATTTAGTTAATTCAAAAATAATTGTCAAAAATTATTTAAAAAAAAGTTATTAATTAAATATGTAGTCTTGGTGATAACATTTGTTAAAGCTTTGTTCTGTTTGGTGTAAAATTTTTAAATTCAAAACAAAAATTTATTATATAGTAGTAATAATTATAATAACGAAAAGTATATACCATAACTATTTAAATATTGCACTTGGAATTTTATTTTAGTTTAAAATTTAAAAATTTTTTTAATTTAATTTGTTGAAAACTTTTTTCTTTGAATTTTTATTTTAAAACTCTTTTTTTTCATCATAACAATTTTTCTTAATTTTTTTTATTATTTAAGTTTAAACTATTATTTTTTTAAAATTTATTTTTAATTATTTTTTTTAAATTATTTTTTTTTAAATTTTAATTTTTTTTATTTTTATCAAAATAATTTTGTTTTTCAATATATGCTTATTAAATAATTTTTATAAATACCAGTATTTCAGCATATAAATTAGTTAGTTAAATTAAAATACATTAATTTGTTCAAAAAAAGAACTAAAACAATATATTGTCATTAATAAAATATAATATATACAATAAGTATATAAAAAGTATATATTAAATATAGTATAAACGCATCAATATTAGTGATAGATTAAGAACTACAATTACAACAGTATAAATAATCGTGTATATAAAACAATTTCTAAATAATTAAATACATTTATTAAATAAAAATATAAAAAATATATAAATTATAAGTTTTTTTCTATGTGAGTTATGAAAACTAATTTTGATCTTTCCCTCATACATACGTATAGAATACACAAGACACATATTGGTAATATATAAGATACTACCAGTCAAAAGGAAATACTTCTTCCATCTATTCATAGAAGTTGATGAAAATCAGGATTGTACATTTCGGTATGCAAAAAGTTATGTTAAAAGTTGTCTGATTTCTAAATCGACCAATGAAATATATAATGTAAACTGTTTGTTCCGATTTGCACTGACTTCGAATATCAAAATTTCTAATTTATTCCTTTTACTATTGCTCGATAAGTTTTTATTATAGTTGTAAACTGTTCCACCGAAAAAAATGAGCGGTACTGGATCGTTGTTGTAACCCACCGGGTCCTGCTTGTGGTGGTGTTGAACGGTACTTGGTCGTTGTAGGTAACGAGTGTCTCCAGGACATAGACCCGACCGTTCTTGGAACCGGTACTTGATCGTAGTAATCGACTGTTTTCAAGGATTTCTGTTATGGAATATATTTTTATTCTTGTTGATATGACCTTAATAGAAATTCTAATAGTTCAAGGCAAAGTAAAAACAGAGCAAAAAATAATCCGGGAACAACTGCTTATATTAAATATAGAAACGTAAACTCAACAGTTTAAAGAGATAAAAATGATGAGTCAGGAATAGGAACATATCTAGAAAAATGATATAAGAAGTAGAAAGAATCCAAACCTCCCCTATTCAAGAGACAAATTTGAAAAAGTTCGCATTGTTACTCTAATAGTTGTATATAGAGCAATAATTATAAAGATGATTTATGTTGTAGTGTGTTGAATTTCAGTAAAGGAACACATTAACAATCTTTACATTAAATTATTTACACTCAATTAAATAACTCTTTACCCTACGAAAGGAACCGTAGGAATCCAACAAAAAAATGACAACAATGATTACCGGTTTTCAAAATACATACTGAAGATTGCTACTGTCAACAATACGGTTTATTACAGCGATTGATAATATTATAACAATAACCTTCTAACTTATATTTGCAAACTCCTCCGGTTATATCCTAGTCTATTCTATATATGTATACAATTGATCCCAGGAAAAAAAATTGGAGATTTTTTAACCTACTTGGACGAAGAAAGCTTATATTTAAATCTAATATGCTACCACAGTTATTGTAGGGTCACAAAATACAGTTCGAAACCCACATTTTAAAAAAGATTCAAACTTTAATAAATCGCTTTTAAACGACGATTTTTAGATTAAATAGAAGCTTATACTCATCACACTTCAAGCCACGATTTGCAACTGGAAGTAAGAACCAATGAAATATGCTATTGAAAAAATACTAATGTGATCAGACATTTCATTAGAACCAGCAGGTTGATGTATATGTGTGTGTATTGCAATCTGTATCCACCAATGTATTTTCCAGTTTTTGAACTTCAACAACAATGATCATCGGCCCTTGCTCGTCGCAAGTTAAGATACAAACTTGGCCACACAACGAACTCTATAGATTTTAGAAAACAAGGGTTTACACTAATATACTCTTATATACACTAATATGCTCTAATACGCAGCTTGCAAAATCAAAGCTTTAGTAAATAATATAACGATATGAAAAGTTCAATTGATTTTCTATCCTTACTGGGAATTTTCATTGGGTGGACTTTCACGAGATTTCTATTTTAATGGAAATATGTATTATTAAAAAAATATATCTGTATCTTGCAAAGTCTTACTAATGTAGATTCAGGATTACAAAAAAGTTACAGTAATTAATGGCTTCCAGTTCGTCAATCGTTCAGATATCAACCCGCACTTTAATTTATTATTTATAGCCAACCGATTTTTTTAACTAAACTTCTACCAATAATTATAATTTTTTCTTATTTAAAATAATAAAAACACATTTTATATTTAACAGATTTGTTTTTCCGTAATTTATATTTAAAACAAAATCAGTTTTAAGTATAATATTTAAAATCACATTTGTACTTTTACATTTTATATTTACAACTATTTACAGCCAACATTATTTTTGTAATACAAAAATATATTAATTTTTTAATAAGTATTAATTTGCCTCCAAAATATTCTATTCATTGAAATTACAATTTAATTTAAATCTGTATAGATCTATATATATTAAGACATCTTCATAAATTAATAATAGTAATAAATAAATAATATTAATTTTAAATAGAAATATATCACAAGTTATATTAAATTTAAAAAAATTTTGATTATATAAGGTTTATATATAAAATTTATATATAGACAAAAAACTATATATGGTATATAAAAATAAATACAAAAGCAATATAGTTTTTAAATAACAAATACATTCAGAAAAAAAAAGTTAAAACAAAACCATTAATAATAAATAACAAATCAAAACTATATTTTACGTTGCCTTATACACTTAAAAATGAACAATACAAAAATGTAATAGTGGATAATAACACAAATTATTATAAATATTGCAAATATTTTATATATATATATATAAAATTTTGAAAAATTTTAATTAAAAATTAATATGTAAATTTAAATTTAATTATAATTTAAAATTTATACATATATTAAAATTTATATATATATTGAAATTTATATATACATTGAAATTTATATATATATTTCAATTTATGTATATATTAAAATTAATATATATATATATACAAATTTATATATATGTTTCAATTTATATATTTAAATCTGTGTATGTGTATTTATATATACATTAAAATTTATATATATTAAAATTTATGTTTATATTAAAATTAATATATATATTGAAATTTGTATATAAATATTGGAATCTATATATATATATTAAAATTCATATATATATTGAAATGTATATAAAAGTTATATGCAATGTATGTTAGATATACATTATATATAATATGAAACATATATTTAAAATTAATACAAAAATTAAAATTACTATATAAGTTAAAATTAATATACATAAATTAAAAATATGATTTAATATATAAATATAATAATAATATAATAATAATATAATAATAGTATAATAATAGTATAACAATAATATAATAATAATATAATAATAATATAATAATAATATAATAATAATATAATAATAATATAATAATAATATAATAATAATATAATAATAATATAATAATATGTAATAATATAATATAATAATAATATAATAATATGTAATAATATAATATAATAACTAATATATACTGATCAAAATTTATAAATATATTAAAATTTATGTGTTGCAATCAAACTTTTTGCTTTTATTGTGTTTTGTTACTTAACAATATCAAATTCTAGATTTTAAATTATAGAGTACACATTATTTTTCAATTATTAAAAACTTAAAAACACGTAGTTTAAAACTATTGTTTTGACAATCTGTCGCTTGTGATGTCTACACGGACAGTTATAAAATATTTGTGTCCATTCTTATGCAGTCAGCATAAAAACATGTCTCATATATTTACTTTATATAAAAATCGTGTGTTATAATAAATAAATAAATAATAAAAGTTAAAATTTATATATGCGCCAACCTAGCTGACAATTGATTGAGCGAAATCGGATGTATAATATATATCTATGTATGTGCAATTTATAATTGAAACATATCACATCCATTTAAGGTAACTTAGTTTAATTATATTTTTATAGTTATGAGATTATGTGAGCACATCTGAGCGCCTTTAAGTGTTGATATTACGTATTGTCTTTACGATTAGTGCTCTTCTTATAGCTTTTTTTGTGTTTACATAGCAGCATATCGTGTTTAAGACTAAAGGGTCTTGAACACACATTACATTTGAACGGTCGTATACCCATATGAAATACACGTACATGCTGATCCATGCCATGTTTTCGTTGGAAGGTCTTTTCACATAAACTACATTTGAATTTACTATTCTCGTGGGTTATAGAATGTTGTTTTAAGTGTTTCTTGTACTGAAATTCCTTCTGACAAAATGAACATTTGAATGAACCGGATTTCTTTTTTGTTTTACGTTGTTTTCCACTTTTTTCATTATTTATATTATTTACAAAATGCTTAAGTTTATATGACACCTTATTCTCAATAATCGAAGATTTTGTTTGCTTATTTACAGTCGCCCTTGATTTGTGTTTTTCTTGTATACTAGACACTTGGTATTTTGGATGCGATAAATTAAATACTGTACCATGACACATATATCTCATATGCAGATTACGAGCCTTTTTATTGTGAAAAATTTTATTACACCTATAAACGCAAGCAACTACAATTCGTTTCTGATTATTGTAGTGCGACATTTTCTTATGGTCTATGAGTTTTTTAATATTTCCAAAAATTTTCTGACACTTGTTACAATGTAATAAATTTTTGCTATGATTAAGTCCAGATCTCCTCATTTGTATTTTTGATTTTAAAAGACGTTTAAATCTATTGCTATCAAAATATTTCAAATCCTCCTTAGATTCAATTCCTTTTTTAGCACGCTTTAGATTTCTGTTAAGCTGTTGGAAGACTTGAGGTTTTATTTCCTTTTTTTTCTTCTTTGCTTCTGGGGCACAGATCTCCGTACTCAAGGAATCATTACTATTTGTACTTGGTTTGATATTTTTTATCTGCTTATATTGTTGTTTATCTGTTAAAGATTTTTTGGAAACACGTGCTTTAGTTAATTTTTTGATGTTTGGATTTTTAGAAGTACGATTGCTTGTTACTATTACATCATTATTGTCTTCCAGCTTGTATTGCCGCATATTTGTTAAGGATCTTTTAGACGTCCATGAAATTGTTTTTTTTCTCCTTTTAGCTATAGGAGAAAAACAATGCAGCTCATTGTTTGCTGTTTTTCCACTATTTTCCTTTCGCTCGGATTTTTTTGAATTTGTTGAACCTATTTTTGACAATTTTGAAGTGATGTTTTTTCCGGGATCTGGGAAAACATCATGAAACTCATTCTTTACTCTTGCTTCAGTGCTTTTCTTTTTCTCGAATTTTATTAAAGTTGTTGAACGAATTTTGTGCAATGATGAAGTTGTTTTGTTTTTTCTTGGATCTGTTAAAACATCATGATGCTCTTCGTTTGGTTTTACTTCACTATTAATCTTTTGTTTGGATTTTTTTAAATTTGTTGAACGAGTTTTGTGCAGTGTTGAAGTGGTTTTCTTTTTTCTTGGATCTGTTAAAACATCATGGAGCTCTTTGTTTGCTCTTACTTTACTATTTACATTTTGCTTGGATTTTTTTAAATTCGTTGTACGATTTTTGGGCACTGGAGCAATGATGTTACTTTTCTTTTCTTTCTTCCTTCGCTCGGTTTCTGTTGAATCTGTTGAAGTGATATTGTGTTTTCTTGCATCTTTTAAAACATTATCATCAAACAACATCATGTTTGCTGTTATATCTGTAAATCCCTTTCGCTCAGGTTCTTTTAAATTTAATGAACCATTTTTTGTTGTCAGCACAGTGGCATTATTCTTTCTTTGATCAATAAAAATTTCATGCAAATCGTAGCTTGATCGTCTTTGATCACTTTTCTTATGCTTGCACTGTTGTACATCTGTTGAAAAAGTTTTGGACATTGGTGGTCGGGTAACTAGTTGTCCTTCACATTTAGAACTCTGAAATTTATTGCTTGTTGTTGGTTTAGTATTATTTAACGAATCAGATTGCGCTAAATCTGTTAAGAAACTTGTTGACGCTGGTGCAATGTTATTGTTTTTTTTCGAATCTGTAGAAATATAATGAATTTCATTATTTGCTGAAGTTTCACTATTTTGTTTTTTCTCCGAGTCTTTTAAATCTATAGAACAGCTTGTGATTACTCCAGTGACTCCAGTGGCATGATTCTTATTTGGATCTATAAAACTATTATGAACTTCATTGTTTGTAATTGTGCCATTATTTTTCTGATGACATTGTTTTAAATCTACTGAACCATTTATTTTCTTTGAATTCTGCAAACTATCCCCAAAAGTATTATTTGTTGTAGGTTCAAGATCGTCGTTTTGCTCAGTATGTCTTGCTTGTGAACAACAATTTTGAGATGTTGTTGTCTTACTATTTTTAATTGAATTATGATCTGGATTCTCAATTAAATCGATAGCCTTACAGAATTCATCAATATCAATGCTATCATTAAGTATATTTAGTAGATTACCTTTCTTTATAATTGAGACATCATTCTCATTATTTTGAGTCATCACATTTGCTGTTGGTATCGTCACCATTGGTTCTTGATGGTGAATAGCTCTATAATGTTGCGTTAATGCTTGCACACTGAAGAAATTTGATTGGCAAACGCAGCATGTTTGTAAACAAAACGCATGTGGAGATTTTACTATACTTTCATTCAGCACAACAATATTAGGTTTTGTATAAGGTTTGTTGTTCAGTAGTGGCATTGCTTGTTCAGTAGTGGACATATCTCGCACACTTGTTACAAAAAGATTTTTTGATGTACTTATATTGGTATTAACAGGAAATTGTATTGAAGAATCTAAGATATTACTTATCGAAGTTACGATAGGTTTTAGAGATCGGCAGTTATCATCATTATTATTAATTGATTGCGATATATCTTTAACATTTAAACTTAGATTTTCACTAATTGTATTATCGCCCATATAATCTTCCGTGTTCAGCATATCTTGACTATCATTTTTTTCAGTCTTATAAACATTTCTTATTTGACCTTCATACTTTAACTCTCTTGCTACCTCTACGTAGTTATGCTCTTCTGATATTAACTGCTGTAATAAATGATTATTTACCACAGCAGCGGTTTCATTTGGTGGTGTATGTTCCTCAAAGCCTTCCAAATTCGTATTACCATCATCGTCAATAATATTTATAAAAGGATCATCTAAATTGACTATTTCCATAATATCGCAATTATTTATTATATCCTTTGTATTAAGCGTAGATAAACTATTAAATGGAAACTTTTGCTCAACATCACAATCGTGATCGTGCTCAATCGTATCATCAAATCCATAATCAAAATCTTCCTCATATATATCAGATACTTGCTCTGCACATTCCTGTTTAACTCTTGTAATTGGTTCTTGTTTTATTTTTAACTGCCGTTCATTAGATTTACTTGAAATGTTGCTTTTTGACACCTTTTGGTTCCGAATAGCTTCGGCTATTTTATGAATAAATCGATTTAAAGATTCTATGTCTTCCAAACAGTTACTGCATACTTGTAACAAATCATTATGTTGGATATTAAGCAATGGCAAGCATTTTTGTATATATTGAAAAATATTGCTATCGCTTACAACTGATAAGTCAAATCTATTATTATTGTAACACAAGCAACAAAATTGTTCAACTAATGGATTAATTGCAGTATTTGTAAAAACCTGTGTTGAAAAAAAATTATAGGCATTAGCAGCGAACCATTTTAAATAAAATTAAATATCAAGTTTCTACAGATACCCGAATCTACTTTGACGGTTAAAATTTAAAATTTATTGACGTTTAATTTTTCAACACAATGAGCAAGCTAAAACAATATTCATAGAGACATAAACATATATCATAAGCGTCTTCATTGGTTTAACTGTAGTCCCAGATATTGTAGAAACTCATATTATTAACAGTGCTTTTCATATTACCATATGTTGCACAACTTAAAGCTTACCTCATGTGGCATTTGTTCCACATTCTTACTTGGTTCATGTTCAACCTAAGATGCATAGAATTTATCATGTTGTGAATACAATAAAAAGTATATAATTACAATGAAAACTATCTTAATGAACACTTCTCTTGGATAGATAAAACCAAATTTAGTTTTATCTATAGTCATTATTTGTTTCAATAATAGTGGACTATTTTTGAGATGAGTGTCAACTAAAACATGTTTTCGCTGTAACTTTAATGTGCCATAGCTACATACATAGGACTTTGGTGGAGTGTACACTTCTTTAATGCATATATTTTCATTTTCCTGTTTTTGATTGACGTATGTTGTAATTGTCGGAAAAGCATCTTTTTTAAGTGTCTTCCTTCCATTTAAATTGCTGAAGGCATCAGTTACAAAGTGACGGCAACACACTGTACTCCACTTTGAGGGTGTCCAATCCTTAGAGCGACCTATAAACTCCAACCATTTTTCCAATAGCGCGGGTCTTTTTATTGGAAACTTATGATATGAAATACTCCCCGAATGGCTATATCTATCTACACAATCCGCTACGCAGCAAAACGCTGGCATTATTGAAACAACACAACAATATACAATAATGCAATTGATTTGCTATAAACTTCATTTGAATTACTAAACCCTGCCTACACTTACTAACATTTACATGATTGACAGAATTTAATTTGAGTTGGCTGACATTAAATGTATTCTTTGGTTATTATCAAATACTATGTTCAGACACACCTTATTCTATGTTAAGGCATTCCTTAATTTACAAAAATCTTAATTTCATCTTCGTTTTAGCAAAATCAAGTTATTTTTTCCATACAAGATTTAGTTTTAAAGTTAGAACAATATTAAGGAGAATGGCCTTAATTTCGTTAAAACGAAAGTGGATAATAAGGGACATTTCAAATGCATTAGATAAATGCAGTTGAAATATAAATTTATAAAGCAAAAGATAAATTTCAAGCAAAAGATAAAGTTGAGATAACGAAAAAGTGACATTTTTTTTAATAAATGTCAATGATAGTTGACTTTAATAAAACCGGAAAAATATTTTGTGCAAATTTTAAAATTTTTGAAATTGAATAGAGAAAATTGTAACTATTATTAATTTAAAATAGAGTAAAAAATAATAATTCACATACCTGAAATCCACTGAAGCTAATAAAACCACTGAATGTCATCCTTTATGGTTATAATAATCAATTTTTAAAATTTCTCCGATACAAATGGTGTTTAAAGGATGTAATTTTTAACATTCGATTTGTAAACAGAAAACATATGATTTTCCTAATTAGGGGCAGTAATTTACCATATAAAGAGTTTTCATATGAATCAACTCATAAATAAATCAACTGATTTAAGGCGAAAAATGTCAAATGCAACTCTTACAAATAAACTTTCCACCAGATTTAAAATATTTGTCCTATATTTTATATGCAAAATGCAAATAAACAAGCTATTTCATATGCGTAAATCAGCTTATACGTCTGAATACCTCTAATATTTATAAATATTGTGCAGGACGGTCAGACAGAAAAAAATTGTAAATATATTAAAGTTAAAAATACATATAAATATTAATATGTATATCAATTAGTTATGATACAGCGGATGCAACAACTTTTAATTTTGATCTATTCTTTAATATGTAATAATATGTACTTTATAATACCAAGTCTCAAAGAAAATAAAAATATTTCACTTCATTGGTAAGATGAAATCAAGAATACATTGTTAAAAAGAATTATATTAGGTACTTTCGACAGCTGGCAAGTGTAGCAAAAAACAGCAAATTGCTGGCCTATAGTTGCTTAAATATATGCAAAACAACAACACTAGTTTTTCTGCCTAAGCACCTAGTTGTAAAGTGGCCAAACACTTTTGCCACTAAAGAAATAAAGTGTTGCCAACCCAATAAGCGAACTATTGTGAATCCTCATTGGAAATTTCAACGAATATTCCAATCATATGTCAATTTCATGCATTCTTAACATTACCTTTAATTCATTTTAATTTTCAATTTTATATTAATTACAAAATGTAATTCACTTGCATTATGTGGCCATATGTAGGATTTGCTATTTGCCAAAGCATAATATTTGACAAATTGCAACAGTGACGCCAATGTCTCGCTTAACGCCTATAGGCCAGAAACTTGCTGTTTTAATCATATTGATTTTAATTATATATTCCATCGTTGAAATTTTTAAAAATTATTAATGGTATATGCCTAGAAGTTTGATTTTCTTTTATCTCACCAAAAATGTTATCGGTTTGATAATAAATTAATATCATAAAATAATATCTCATAAGCAGCGAAACGAGCCCGGTGATATGGTTTTAGGTTAATACGATAAGAATGTAATTAAACTAGTAATTTCTTGTATAAATAAATCATTTTTATTGTATATGAAATTGCTTATTTTTATGGGTGAAAAACATTTCAAAAAATTAATAACTTAAAATTAATATATAAATGTTTGTATATAAATCTGTGATATTTATAATTTTTTATTTAAAACTAAAATTAAACAATATATTTGCCTAATGAAATATAACCTGTAAAATCAGAACCAAAGAATATTTTTTTTAAGATTGTCTTTGCTTCAAACCAAAATTTCTTGCTATCAATAAATTTTTTTTGTTATTGTGAATTAACAATGGTTGTTTTTTTTGCAGATTTTTAATGTTTTTAAAATGCAAATTTGGTATAATTTTGCATAAATTAAGAGACAGGAATAATAGTGAATAATACTATTTTAGGTTAATTGTTCTCCATTAAGATTGGTTCTGTTAAAATAGTTTTATTGTTTTTAATTGAATAATTTATGCATTATTCAAAATGCACCGCAAAAAACGCTTAAAGTTTAACGCTTGGACATTGATGGTCTTTCAACCTATGGTTAGCATTTTGTGTTATTTAAACATCTATATAATAAATAAAAAAAAACAAAATTTATTACAGTATAATACACGCACTTTCTCTTTACATATGTACAATGATGTGTAAATACAATTAATTTCTCTCGCTGCTTCTTATGTTATCATGTTCTCAAATGCGGTTATCATCTTTGAATCAGCTGTTTTCCATTTTATTCATATTTGATTTGTGGCTATTAAAATTTTTTTCTTATTATGTCAATGTGCGGCGGTCTTAACTTTAATATAGTTTTGATAATTTGATTTTTTTCTTTTGTGCGTTAAGAACGAATCAAGGTCAAAGAAGGGAAAGCACAGTCAAAAGCGCTGCTAGACTAAAAGTGAAAGCAAAAAATATATATTATAAAAATGGCTCAATTGTTAAAACAAATTAAATCACCGTTAAGGAAGCAATTTCTAAATGGAGCAGCAGTAGTATGTCCAGCACAACTCAGCAGGTGGCAGCATATAAATGCACAAAAGTAATTAGAATAAATCTTTAAGTAACTTACATTAATTATGATTTTTATTACAGAGATTATGATTTGGTTGTTGTAGGCGGAGGAATAGTAGGTGTAGCTTCAGCAAGACAAATATTACTACGACATCCCACGCTAAAAATTGCGATACTAGAAAAAGAGCCGAAGTTAGCGACGCATCAGAGTGGACATAATTCTGGTGTTATACATGCTGGCATTTATTATAAACCGGGTACTTTAAAAGCGCGTCTGTGCGTGGAAGGCTTACATTTGGCATATAAATATTGTGACGAAAAAAAAATACCGTATAAAAAATGTGGCAAACTTATAGTAGCGACTGATGAACTTGAAGTTCAACGTCTGAATGATCTACATGAGCGTGGTATGAAAAATGAAGTACCGGATTTACAAATGATTGATGGTCCGAAGATTTCCGAAATTGAACCATTTTGCCGTGGTGTTAAGGCACTATGGAGTCCACATACAGGTATTGTAGATTGGGCACTTGTTACTGAATACTATGCGAAAGACTTTAAGGACGCCTCCGGAGATATATATTTAAATTTTAAGGTAACGAAATCAAAGTAACTAACATGTAAGCTTCATCAACTACTTCTTTATTGATTAACGTCTATATAATTGATTTAGCAATTCCTATGCATGACTACACTATACAAATACCATATGAAATTTTCAATGATTTCTTTTCATTTCTATTAGTTTCGAGTTAGGAAAATATTTTTGTCAATATTTTCTAAAATTTGTCTTTATTGTTATGCCACCAATTTTTTTTAATTTATTAAATATAGTTTTTTTTACTTTTGTTGTTGTTTCTCAAACGCTGCTAATCGCCTTCTTATCACTTTGTTATTGATTAAACATCATTTTCTCTTTAGCTCATACAAAGAGGCGATAATAATCTTTTATGTATTTAATACAAACATTAGCATCTACTTGACATAACAGCACTTAAACCTTTTAAAATATTCCTTGATGAGTAAACTTTTGTGTATGGCAAGCATTCGTCGTAAACATTGTTTGTTTGTTCATATAAAACCAAAAATTAATTAAGTAAATAAAGTCTTTCATTTGTTATTATTGAAACGTAGATACATGATCGCGTTTTTACATCCCACATAGTAGGTTACATCTCCTATGTACTTGTTCGTTATTATAGGCAAATCAGCTCAAAGCTGAACGAGATATGAAATAGCGGATATGTACGTGTTGGTTTGTATTTCTCCGAATAAGTTCAGTGTAAAGCGATGTACTAAACAGTTATAAATCATGTATAAGCACCTATATTCCCAATGTGAGGCTTAACTGCAGCTCTACTTTTTATGACGACACCAATCTGTTTATGTATATTCCTATTCATACATTAACTTTAGCTCCATTAATCTATAAGTCCGTTCCAACTAACTGGTCCAATTCTTTCAGCTAAACCTAGGTTATTTTTAAATAGGACCCCAACTATAGGATCCACACCTATATCTTATCTTGCTACTAATTTTCCCATGTAACTTAACTATCCTATATATTCATCATGTTATCTATTATAGTTGGATGCTCTTTATGTATTGTGGCGGTTGATAGTATCTTCAGATGTTACAACAACAACTAAGTATATTTAAAGTATATTTCGCAGGCTCATGGTTCCACTTTGTCCGTCGTGGAGTTATGGGTCTCTCTTGCAACCACAATAGCCCTATATTTTGCAAATTAAGCATTAAGAAGATGAATGTGGCAGCATTAAGAATCGCTAAATGGTCAGGTTCGCTGAAGAACAATAACTGTCTTACTTGTCGTTAATGCGATTCTATGAAACTTATTCCACTCCCCTCTCCTCCGATTTTTATTATTGTTACTTATTTTGTAACAAGTTTTTTTCAGACGAAAAAATCTTCATTTATATTTTGCACATTCATCTCTCGAAGTAAATTTCTCCACAAGTGATATACAGAACTGGTTTAAAGTAAAAAAAGTGTCTGCAGTTATTAGTATATACAAAGCAAATCAATTAAAATAAATTTATAAACTTTTTCTCAGACATTAATTAATATTGCAGAATATATAACATACAATATATATTCGCGCTTTTATTAAATGTTAATATGTAGTAGTAGCAGAAGCGAAGCTGCTAAATATATGGTATATTTCTTCATTTTAATAGAATTACTTGTCAATCAAGTTTCTACTATCTTTTTTATTAATGTGTACCTATCTATAGTTTATGTGATGACACAATTTTTTGGTTTGTTTTTTGTACACTTAGGTTGACAAGTTCACTGAAACTAAAGATGGTAATGCTTCCGATTATCCTGTCACGATATTAGGAAACAAACCACATCAAAAGATACGTACACGTAATGTTCTTACCTGCGGTGGTCTTCAATCTGATTTACTAGCAGAAAAAACTGGTTGCCCGCGTGCACCACGTATCGTGCCCTTCCGTGGTGAATATCTGCTGTTAGCGCCAGAGAAATGCCATATGGTACGTGGAAATATATATCCGGTACCAGATCCACGTTTTCCCTTCTTAGGTGTACATTTTACACCACGCATGGATGGAAGTGTTTGGTTAGGACCAAATGCTGTGCTCGCATTTAAACGTGAGGGATATAAGTAAGTAAAGTATAATTTTACTCAATGGTAAGCAAAAATTATCTGCAGAGGTTTTAAGGAATAATATAATTTTAAATTTGGGCCTTTTTATTTTATATTAAATTAGAGCAATATGGTATATAATTATTAATCTTAATTTATATTTGATAGATGGAGCGATGTCAATCCTGTTGAACTTTTTGATGCTCTACGTTATCCAGGTTTCGTTAAAATGGCTTCTAAGTATATATCATTTGGTTTAGGTGAAATGTCTAAGTCCGCATTTATACCGTTGCAAATGAAAGCCTTACAACGATATATACCAGAAATTACAGAATACGATGTTAGTCGTGGGCCAGCTGGTGTTCGAGCACAAGCCATGGATATGGATGGAAACTTAGTCGATGATTTCGTATTTGATCGTGGTGTTGGTTCGGGAGCCTTAGCTAAGCAAGTTCTACACTGCCGCAATGCGCCTTCTCCAGGTGCCACAAGCAGCTTGGCTATTGCAAAAATGGTGGCCGATACTGTTGAAGTAGAATTTAAAATTGGCAAAGTTTAATTAGAGTTTGGCTTTAGACTCTCTCTACACCGACGCATCAAACTAGTTTCATTTGTTTTAATGAGGGAAACTAGTTTCGAAACGCATTATTATAATATCGTGCAATATGTTTTTTAATTTGTATAGAATTTTTCTTTTCGTAATTAATGCACACTCCTTTTTATATGTTGTGAATGTATTTTCTGAGTTCTTATTTTAAAAGTTGCATATTTGCATTGCTATCTTTTCGATCTCAATGTATACGCAATAACCGATTTTTGAACTAGTTTAGTCGGTGTGAACATCACATTTCATTAAAACACTTTAAGCGAATATAAACGCGTTTAATGTGTTGGTGTGGACACAGCTTTAGTGTTTGTAATTTTCTATTTTCTACTTTTGTATAAAAAAATTATTTGTAATATTTTTTGTTTTTTTTTTTGCAAATGTATTTCACGAGTGCCTCCTTTAATGTGTTATTTTAGTTTAATTCGTACTGTTTAATTAGTTAATTTTAATGTTAAATTTTGTTAAAATAATTTGTTCTTTGATTTTGTCTGCACGCTTACATATATTGTTAATATGTAGTTGTGTGTTTGTTAAATTGTTTTTAATTCAGTTTTTGTTTTATTTTCTATCGCCAAAGACTTTGACTTTCATGTTTGATTTTTGTTATTTTGTATCTAACTTATTTTTATTAGTATTCCAAAATATTATTCGGATATAACTAAAAAAACGTGATACCAAACTTTCGAATAATATAATTAAGGTTTCAAAGGCTTCCAAAAAATACAATGTTTTGGAATAATAATAAAATTATAATGTTGATAAATATTTACAATTGTAAACTAAAACTTTAAAAACCAAAAACATATTTGCTGAAATTAAACTTAAATAAATAAAAACATTTTATTTTTATCAAAAAAGCATTTTTCAAAAAACTATTTAAGGGATAAAATCAATCTCAAGTAATGAGCTCGTCTGCCGAGTAGCCTTAACTTAGATTATATTCAATTGAAATCCTATTCATTCATAATCCATTATTGTTTCTGAATCCAATCCTACAATCCCCTCCCCTTTCTTTACGCAATCATGTACTAACCTGTAATAATTACAAATCTTTGTAATCCCATTAATGTTATGTGCCTTATAGATCTCTACGGGCTAGTAGAAAAACAACTACGGTAACATAATAACAGTACAAAGTGGCAACAACAAAATTTTCAAGTTAAATGCGATAGTATAAACATTCTGTAAGATAATTGATGTAAAATTAATGAAATCCCAAATGTAACATATTTGCTAAAATGATAAACATACATGTGTTTTGGCACTGTTTTCAAAATAATATATTTACAAAGTAAAAATGTTAGGTAAATATCTTAAAATTAAATCCTCAGATTACACAATAGATAAAGGCCCGAATATATGAGATATTTTCGAAAGTAAGCAGGGCTTTTTAAATAGGTATGTAGAGAAGTCATTGATTGGTTATTATAAGCATTGGTAAATTATAACCTTTTCGGAAAAATGCATGTGCTTATTAAAGATAAGCGTTTTATCAGTCAAAAGGCTAATTCTTCTAAAACACTTACTGAGTCAAAAAGAGGCTATTGAAAAGGATAAATCGGTGTTACGACCAAAAAAAAATTTTCTTTGTTCAAAACAAAGGAAAAAAAATACTTCTAAACCAAAAAGGATATCGAATACAAAAAAAGGTTCGATTATATAGTATAAAATAATATCTTTAGGCACATGACTCATACGATTTGTAAAAATTGCTATTGTGTATATACTTATACAATGGTAGTAAAATTAAATTTACTTTGAATTTCATGAATTCTTAAATATAATTTAAATATTTTTTAAATTTTATTTATGTATTCATAATACATTTTTATTTTATAAGGAATTTATTAAGTTTTACACTTGAGTGATTTATTATAAATTATTATGCTATTAAAAGAAATTATTAATTATTATGAATATTTTTAAATTTTATATTTTTATATTCTAATGGATTAATTTAATTTTACTTTGAATTCCACGAATTCTTTAATGTAATTTAAATATTTTTAAATTTTATTTATGTATTCATAATACATTTTTATTTTATAATGGATTTATTAAGTTTTACACTTGAGTGATTTATTATAAATTATTATGCTATTAAAAGAAATTATTAAATATTATGAATATTTTTAAATTTTATATTTTTATATTATAATGGATTAATTTAATTTTACTTTGAATTCTACGAATTCTTTAATGTAATTTAAATATTTTTAAATTTTATTTATGTATTCATAATATATTTTTAATTTATAATGGATTTATTTAGTTTTACTCTTGAGTGATCTGTTTGTTCTCTGTGATTTTGTTTTTATTTTTAAATAATTATTATTATTATGTTATTTAAAAAATATTTTTTTTTTTAATTTAAAGAATCTTTTAAATATTATGAAAATTTTTTTATATGTATATATATATAAATGTTTGAATTTGAAACATATTTGCTTTATAATGGATTATTAAGTTGTATTCAAAATTTTATACGTAAAAAATTTGTAATTATATTTATCCAAAGTTAATTTAAACAATGTAGTTTTATGTTATATAATCACCAAGAATGGATTAATTTTACTCATGGTGAACCGCCCATGAGTTTTTAAATTATATATATTATTAAAAGAAATAGTTGCAGAATTTAAAATTGATCAAAATTGATAAAATTGATATATTATTAAAAGAAATAGTTGCAGAATTTAAAATTGATCAAATGATTATTTGACCATCTAATACTTTATCTTTAAGTTGATTACTTTTTCTTATTGTATTTAGCAAAACTGTCCATAACTTCATTGGTATTTTTGTGTAAAATGTTGTTGCATATATTGCCAAGTTCAATGAATTCATCAACTTTGGTTAAAAGTGTTCCAGTAACCAACTCGATTACTGGCATAATATCTTCATTGGAATGTGGCATGTGTTGTACTGCGTATAACATTTTACTGAGAGTTTCAAGGGCTGCACATTTAACTCTGCCATCTATAACATCGTCATATACATCTTTAATAATGATTGCTAAAAACTAAAAGAAGCAAGAAAAATAAATACTTAAATATGAATTTAAAAAAGAAATAATTTATATACATTACCTTATGATAATAATCATCTATTATATACGTGATTATAGGGTATATGCGTCCGAGAAAATAATAACTTTGGACGCGATTGATTTCATTAGAAGGTTTTAAAACATCAAGGAAGGTATCAAGAATAAAAGTCCGTTCTTTATAGCAAAGTGAACCTAAAAAAAAATAATGAGATAATACGTTTACCATTTATTTCTTTTATTTACATATATATATATATTAAATATCTTAAAATTTTATAGGTATAGGTTTTAAAACTATATTTAGTGGTAAAAAGTATTGTATTTACTGGATATTGCTATTATTATTATTATCTGTGCCGTTGTACTATATTTGGAAGAGAACTACTTGGTTCTGCATACTTGGTGGAAACACTGCAACAAAAATTGTGATAACAACTTTCTCGTAAGCTCGTTTGCGTAAATCCGATTACTCTTAAGTCAGTGCTATGTGAACTGACTTAACAAATGAAACACACAATATAGCATATTGACAATACGCACGATAATAGCATTAAGCTGAATTGGATCAAATAAAATATATGAAATATATGATAATATGAATAAAATATATATAAATATAAAATACAAATTATTTAATATCTCTAAAATTTTTATTTTAAAAATTGGAGAACAACATACAATATTAAAAACCAAGACTATCTTACTAAAATCGAGGCGATAAGTCAACATAGAAACTTAAAATGGGAAATCTTACTAAAGTAGTTATATAAACATAGCCTTAAATGCATTTTGCGCTATATTTTAAAAAAAACATACAAAGATTGAAATAAAATATTATTACCAAAAAGCTAAAGCATTTCGATTTTTTTATAAGGTATAAAAACGGTATATTGCAGCGACAATCAGCTGTTTTCTTTAAGGCTCAGTCAACACTTGCAATGATGCCACTTTACGCAACAAATAGTACTCATACGCGTAGGTTGACCAAATGTTTTCATATATAAATTAAATACGAGAGCTATTAAATACATGTTACTATTCAGTATACAGTTATATATTTTGTGGAGTCATGTTTCCATTATAGTAAAGCTATTATTGTCAAGCTCATTGTCACTCAATAGGTCTGTTCCACGTGATACTCGTAGAAAAATTCAAGTAAAACACAAGTTAAAAACAAACTAAGAGCGTAACATAAATAAAGTTCCAAATTACGCTCTTTACACGGTTTTTCATGGAACAGCTTTGTATAAAGTCTGGTGAGAAAAATTTACATTCAAACCAAAACAAATGATTCACACATCAACACAAATTTTACTTGAAATAAAATGTACGAGTAAAGTCTGTGTAGCATTTTCAAATTTCGACAGGGATGTTACGCTATCTCAGATGCTCTTATTTACTCGAAAATTTAATAATGGGACGCACTTGTGTATACACGCATACACAGTGTTACTCAAACTTACTACGAGTAACTCGTGGAACAGACTTAATATCTTAATTTTTATTTATACCATACACTTTCTAAAGTTATATACAATTTATTAAAATATTTTTTTCAATTCAACTTACCCATTTGCTCACAAAGTTTTACTAATATGTTTCCCACAATCGGGTTATAATCCAACTTGTAATGTTTGCATACAAAATAAATTGAATTAATAAGTGCTAATTTGTCGAGTGTAACCAACAACTCTACTGCATATGATACCGTGCGCAAATCAAAACTTTTATTGGATGAGAATGCTATAAAAACTAATTCCTTTTCAAAAGGTGCTGCAGTCATAATTTTATCTTCCAAAACGTATTTAACATATATTAGATTTTTTGACTTTAAATCTACTACATTGCCCTCCAGAAGCTCTTCCAACAATTTAACATCTTCGGAACCAATAAATTGATCCTTTTTGTCAATCATATACATTATAGATTCAATGAGTCTAATAATATCATGCTCTAAACACATTGTTTTTAATCTCTTCATACGTATTTTAATTATATCAAATGTTTGGACAGTTGGTGCGACTTTCACAGCCTCTCCAATTATGGTCAAAATTGCACGGATTATGACTGAAAATTTTGAAATGGCGCGGATGTATTTATCATCTAAGATATTAAAAATATCTTTTGCAAATTCATTACATTTTTTATTTAATATCAATTTTATTGGTGGTAATTTTAAAATAAATTCTACGCATCCTGCTAAAGTTGCAGGGAAGTTGACATTAATTTTTGGCATTTTAACAATTTTCTGATATTCATCGCTCTTTAAAATGTGAAACACTCCAATCAATACATTATAGATGACCTTAAAATTAGATGCAATTTCAAGCACTTCCATCAGTATATGTGGAAACTGGTACTTATCTTTATTCATTAACAATGCCAAAATTATTTTGTTAACATTAGGTTGTGATTGGTTATATAAGTATTTCGTTATTACATTTGCTAATTTTATTTTATCATCAATATTTTCATCGCTCATTGCACTAAATAAACTCAAAAACATAATAACGTATTTTAAATCACCATCCTCCGAAATATAATTTACTAAATATCCAGAGAGATAATTAAACAAAGTTAAATCAGCAGAAAACTCTTCAGTGATCATCTTTGTTTCACTCACATCTATAAGGTCAATCATGTTTTTTCCGATTTCATAAATTTGTCCAAGTATAAAAATCTTATTTTTACTACTTCTTTCAATAAATGCTTTAATTATATCTACACTTAAGTAGAATTTAATATCATAAATTTCGGAACTCAAACAAAATTTAAGGTATTTTAGTATAAATGGAAACACTCGAGGAAAAAACTCTTTATCTTCTGTATCAAACTTCTGTGTGACGTTAGATATTGTATCTATATGATCCTTCATTAATGTGCCATTAATTTTAATAAGATCTACAATGTATGCCAGAAATGAGCCAATAAAATTTATATAGCCTCCTTCCAACATAAGGACTTCCATCAATTTTTTGGAAATTGTTTTTTTAATAGTGACAGACAACTTTTTTTTACGCCACAAGTCTACAAGGCAATCCATGAAGTTCTCTTTAGAAATTTTACACCAAATGTTCATAATCGACACATCAATATATTTTATATCATTGGCGCTTAAGATCATTTGTTTTCCATCATTTGCTATCAGTAAGCCAAACAGAAGACTAGTATAATTAAACACAACTTTTTTCATTGAATTGTTTACATGACACACGTGTATAACTAATATTTTTCGCAAAAAATGCGTGACTACGAATAAAAAATTATAATCTGGCGGTGCATCATCTTTGAACTCTCCAAGTAATTTCTTAATATTTGGCAAGAGTGCTAAATCATTTAACTCATAAATAGCTGCGATTAAGTCATGTACTTTCATAAGACCATCAGTGTCATTCCCATCAAAAAGCGGTAATTTTACAAAATTTATTATGACATACATAAGATTGATTAAATATTCTGTGCGTTCACTTTTTTCAAGTGAAAAATTTTTACCTACAATACGTTTTATCCCCAAATCTTTAAAAATTAGAGTAAGAATATTTTCCCATTCATAATTGAGAACAGTTAGAAGCAATTTTTGGTTTTTTTTCAACCGTCTTTCTAATTCGACCTCCGTTTCGTTATCAACTAAAAAGGTAATTAATAATTTTAATAAGTATATGTAACATGAATTTCAAAATTATTATATTTATTCTTATATATAATAGCAAATCACTTACATTCAGCATTTGAAAACTCCAAGCTTCTGACCAAACGTTGAAAATTCAATGATTCCATCTCGACAAAATTACGCGCTATATTCAAATGAAGTTATTTATCAGTGTCGTAAAAATTTACCCTAATAAACTTAAGAAAAACATGTAGTAGATTAGTGATGATAAGGGTTGCAAGGTAGTTTTTTTTATACTTTTTACGTACTTTTAGGTTATACGGCTGCGGTTATATTGCATGCAAATTTTGTCTTGCATATTCGTACGAACAAATCAAATGCATGTAATCATATGCAAGTAATTACAGTTGTTGAAAACTATTCGCGCGACGTCTTGTCTTTATCATGCGAATATTTAATTAAACAAAATATTTTGTTTGAAATTCATGCGCATTAAAAGTAGATTAAACCAATAATCGATATTAAAGTACTAATCTCGTTGTTTAATCTCAGATTTTCCATACAAAAGTTAATCTTGTTCTGATCGAGAATAATTTTAAATCTCATTCGAAATGATGATTATTTTTCTGTGCAACTCTGCAAATGTCTTCATATCGTAGCTTTTTACAATCTTACGAATTGGAAAAGGAATGTTAAAAACTAATCAAAATAAACATTAAAAATTTGAAAATGTCGAAGTGAGTAAATTTTTAATACATTTGTTTAATAATAGTTTTATACATAATTGTAACTGAAACTTGTTAAATTACTGTTATAAAAATATTTATTAAATTTATATTTTAACTTTTTTGTACAAAATTGTAATTAAATGCTTTATTTACAGAAATTTATCAAACACACGAGACAAAACACAACAAGGGAAACGTCATAATTAATCTTCAATGTATAATGTAAACGGTGGAAATTAGAAATGCAGATTAACTTAATCTCGTTCTTTTAATCTCTCAATGTAAACGTAGTATAAAGCGGGTTTAAAATATTTAAAATTATATAAATGTTTTTTAGTTTTTTATATATATTTTATATATATTTTATTTTTTATATATATTTTCCTAGTGCATAAATCAGTTCAGAGGTGTATTTCCAAACTGAGAATGTCGCGTTATGTTGGATAAAATCAGAAGAGAGCAACGGCCATGACAAATAGGCATATAACTTTCTAACTTACATGGCGTTATTGGGTTGGTATAAAATATTTTTTTAAAAAATACTCGTATTTAACATAATTTTACTTAAATAATTTATGTTTAATATATTGCATATTGGCGTAAAAATTCAATTAGAATTTATGGGGGGAATTCAAGTATCAGTCCTTGTTGATTAGCTAACAATATTTTTATATTTGAAGGATTTTATTTTAGAGCAAATTAATTTATTTTAGAGAAATTATACTCTTTCAAGTGTCAATGTATAGTGATTACTATCTACCCATAAGTCCAAACAGTTTTTCGGGATATGCTTTTATCCAAAAAATGGTCTATTTAAAGTAGTTCCATTCGGATCAAATCTACTTACAAATTCTACATAATTGAAATTTTTTTTTTTGCTTTTATTATTTTATTTATATCGCAAAACGGAGAAGAATAAAAAATGTAAATAAAACATCTTCAAGTATATCACTGGTGAATAAGTTCTGTTCTGATTAATATTTTTAATTCAATTCGAGAATGTGTTTATTTCTTTTAGTCGCTTTCTTTTCGCCTAAACTCAATATTTGAATTTTTTTCTCTAATGTTTGTTCAACATTAAAAATCTGTTCACACTTTTTCGCCAAAGTCTTTAGTCCATTGTTTGCATGGTTACGAACTTCTTTGTCATAATTACTATCGTTCGAAACTCTTTTTAATATTTTAAACATAGGCGAAAGTTTTTCTGCAAACTGGAAAACATCCTCCATACCTTCTAAGATATCACTGAGCACTAGAACTGCTGCACGTTGAGCAGGCACGTATTTACCAGTATTTAGTTCGTCCTGAACTAATATTATAAGCTGAAAATAGAATATAATGATTTACTTTATTATTTCTATTTAATTATTAATTTAAATTATTTTACCTCATAAAAGAAATGATCTATTTGATAAGAAAGTATACGGCACAATTGACTTAAGTTTGCATAAGCAGACATACGAAATTCATCATGACGCGAACGTGCTCCTTGGAAGAAAGTGTTTATTAAAACCGCCTTATGTTTATAGCAAAGTGGACCTTAAAAATAAAATAATTTGATTTAAATAAATTCGTAACAGAAAATAGATACATAATAGAATAAATTTGAATAAAATGCAATCTTTTATTCTTATAAATATCATGGATGTTCTATAGCAAGAAAAAAAATTTCGTATTATAAATGTTACAATCTATATCTTATGACAAAAAATAGCTTTAAATAAAACAGTGGTAATTTGCAAATTCAAATCCAAAAAATATATCTTTAATCAAAATGAAGCTCTTTCGGATATACTGCCAAATTTCTATCATTATCGGTTTTTGAAAACATCTACTGGTTTAATCGATTTAATAGGTTTATATATCGCTTAATCTATAATTTTTAGACTGCAAGTGTTAGGAATTAAATTCAGTCAAATTTAAATCGTGGAATTGTTTTTAAACTCACTACAAAAGCTATAGATTCTATATATGATATCAAAACTTAGTAAGTTGGTAAAATCGCTCACACAGAAAGTTGAATACACAAAAATAATTCTGTACCTAACGCAAGAGTGTAGTTAGTATAAAGTGCACTGAAGCCATTTAAATATATTTTACAAGTGGCTGGAATTACGTCCCAGAACCAATTATCATTGCAGCCGTGAATTTCAATATCAGCAATACAAATAAATGACAACGCTTCGGTAGTTGACTTCATATTCCTGTTGGCTTCCTCTATAATAATAAAAGTAACTATAGCAGACAATATATAGAAATGATTTTTTTCGCAAATATAGCTAAACTTTTAAGTACTTAAAAATATTTAAATAAATGTTTAATCACAATATTTTCTATTTAGTTAAGAAACTTAAACTTGATCCTGTTTATATTTTAAATCGCTGTTCTAAAAAAATAATATAATTTCGTAATTGAATATAAATGTATCTCACCTAAATTTGCACAGATTTTAACAATTGCCTCTCCCACAACAAGACGTTGATCAATATCGTCTTTTTCCTCCAAATACAGATCGCACAAGATTTCTATTACATTGATGCTGAGTTTTTCAACCAAAGTTTTGAATAAATTTATAGCCTTAAGAAAAGCATATGAGTCCTTGTTTTTCAACATATTAATAGCTAACACAATAATGATGTGACCATTTGCTATCGTATAATAGTTATTGGCTTTTAGAAGATTATCGAATTTTTTCATTCCTTCCGCTTGCAAATATGGTTGAGATTGTTCGATAAGATTACGTGCTCGTTCAAATTCCTCGTGAACGTGATCAATCTTGTAATCACATTTTATGATCTTTTTCATTTCAATTAAGCGTTGTTTCAAATCTATTGGTAGACTTTGTGATTCTAACTTTTCAAAAACTGACAAAAGATGAGTACAGTTTTGTGGTTTAGATGAACTCTTTAAAATTTCATGTAATAATGATATGACACCAAATACAATTTGAGTTTGTGTTAGAGAATTGCCGGAGTTGGGGTGATCGTCTTTCGAATATTTCTGTAATATGTTAGTCATAACTTGGAGCATCCGTTCGTCATTTGCTTTCAGTTGTGTTTTGAGTGAATCAAGTTCAATTAACGCACTCAGCGTATGTAAAATTCCAAAGGGCACGGGATAATTAGAAGCGATGTAATTCATTAACTCGTCTTCTGTTTCTATCAAACTTATATCTTTAGTGCTTTCAGCATTATCAGTCTTATAAAATGTGTCACTTAAAACTAGTTTTAAAAGAATCATAAATATATCATATGTTAAAGTGTAATGCGTCTCAACTTTAAATACTTCGGCAATTACTGCAGGAATATAAGACAATATATTCACATCGTCGGTGCTGACAATAAGCACAGTGTTATTGACAATGGAAATGCGTTCATGCAGCTTATACTGCCAACGATCTGTTTTTGTAAAGAGTTTTTCAATGATATTTATCAATTCTTCATTTGTTTGGTTATTCAAATAGCGTGTGATTATGTTCGCCAACTGTTTCTTCTCTGTAGTTTTCTCTGCGGCTTGTTGAAATACTTGTAGGAACATATACAAATAGTCTCCTAATGCACTGCTTGGCAGGCATTCCACAGATGAAAAACAAAATAAATGATATATTAACGAGATAGTAAGTGAAAATTCACTATTTTCCATCAAAATAAATCCAGTAAGTAAATCCTCTGGCTCTATAAACTTGTGCAGAATGGCATCAATTTCGTTTAAAATGTAAGATTTGTTGTGGATATTTTCATCATATAATCTCCGTAATGTGAGTAACGCCGTATTCAAATTTTGATCAAAACTGCTTGTAGTTAGACATAATTTAACATATGACATAATTTGTGGTATTATCTTCTTCGCTACGGAGGTAAATGACGCAATTATTTTAGCCATAAGTTGAATAACATGCTTTGGATCAACATTACCCGCACTGCCTTCTGCTTGTATTGCTGCTTCGAATGTATGAACAAACGTCACATAACCATTGTCTAAAGTCACCATATATCGCAAATATTTGCGTATGAACATTTGTGTTTTCTGATTTATACCCATAATAATAATAGTATTTTTCATGCATTTTTCTCTAGATATATTATACCAAACAATATTAAGCATTTTAAGAATACGCTTTACTTCATCATCCTCCATCATTATTTCTTTTTCGTGATAGGCAAATAATAACGTGTAAGTTGCCGCCATAAAATGCAATAATACTATTTCCATGGAATTAGCAATATGAAAATATGTTATTTGCAACATTTCTATAAAAAATACTACAAAACAACGTAGCAGTACAAAGTTTGGTGGTGCACCTAATTCCGTGTGCCCGAATATACGTTTACTGCGTAGCAACTTATGTATATTTGGAGTCAATGCTAGATTGCTTAAATCCTGCACTGCCAATATGCAAAGATTTACATTTTCAGCGGAAATAAGATCCTCTGGCTTATCAGAAGAAAAATGAGGTAATTTCGTGATATTGACTAATGCGTACATCATAAAAACAAGATATATTATTTGCTGTTCTTCCTCGGGTGGAACTTCAATATCAAATAAAATATCTTTAATGTTAAGTGCTTCCGCTAATTTGTGTGAAATTGTTTTCAGATCATCATGGAACAACTCCTTCAAAGTTCTTAAGTTGTATTCCAAGCGCGACACCAATTCTGCTTTAGTTTCTGGAGCAGCTAAATCACAACATACAATTTAGCTTAAATTGAATTTAATATATACATACTTACATTTTTTATTTCGCAATTTAATTTTCTTAAGTATAAACAAAAATGTAGACGGTTCCTCCATTATGAATGGAATTTTAAACACAGTTAAATTTATGTAAAACGGCTTCTGCCGTTTGCAAAATTTAATAAAATTTCCAATTAGCGCGTAATGTACAATAAACTGACAGTAACCAGTGTTGTAAAATTACCATATGTCAAATATTTTGTGTTGCTATGTAAAACAGTAGGGATATTCAGATATGCACATTAACTCGTAAAGTGTTGCAATTTTATGTAATTTGTTTTTTGTGAAATTGCAATTTGCAACGAATTACCGAGGTATGAAGTCTCAAAATGTTCTCGTTATTCTGTAAAACATTGGATAATTTTTATTATTACTAAGAATTGCAAAAAATTCAATTATGATAATTTAATTATACTGCTTAATAGAAAATTATTGAATTATGTATATATATTATTGAATTGAAAAATGAGTATCCAGGCATTTGCAAGTTTATCTTTTTCCTTTATTTTGCGCTACTGAGTTAAGCTTAAGAAATAGTTAGGAAAGGTAAGTTAAAGTGGCGGTCTTGTTTCCAAAAGCCCACTTAACCTAAAATAATGGTCCATTGTGGTATCACACGAATAGCGTTGGTACGTACAAAGACTGAGAGATTAATATAGGACCAACGCTAAAAAAGGTAACAATTCTTTCATTTGATAAAGAAAAATAAATTTGACAGTTCTATGAATTTGGCTAAGTACCCTTATATTACAGGATGACAGCTCAGCAACGACGCTAAGAAAAGGTGCACCAAAGATTTTTTATCTTCTCCTAGCCTAAGAAGTGCACTGACACATGAGATGTAGCACGATCTCCACCTTACCCTCTAATGAGGATGAGCTTAGAAATAACTATTCTAAATTTTAAAAACTTTTTAAAAATTTCATTTGAACATATGACTTCATTTGTATATATATATTTAAATAAGTAAATATCAAATATATCAAGTGATTTTTTTTTTACAAATTTCGACCACTTATAGTATTTACATTAGTCAACACCATTAGAAAGTTAAACTTCACTTAAAAATTTTTCCATATTTTTCATATTAGATTTAAATTTATTAATTTATCTCATCATATGAGATAAGTACATATGCTTATACTACTTTATTCATACAAATTTTCTACTATATTTCATTATATGTATATTTTTTTTTATTTTCGCTTTAAAATAATATTTGAAAATTCTAAATATAGGCCGTGTGCGGTACTTATGCACTTATGTAAATATTTATTTTTTTATTATTTTTGGTTAGAAATTTTTAAATTTATTTATTTATTTGTTAAACATCTAATAAAATATTCATAATGGTAACACCTAATTTACCTAATTTTTATCTAATTTACTCTACTCGAAATTCTGGTAAATACCAACATTCGCTGCCATTCCTACATAATTTACTATTTCCCTCAATTTACCATCAAAAAAATAATATTTCTTTTGCTTACACAAATTTTTTATTTGTATTCCTGTAAAAACGTAACATACTTTCTTGTTTACTCCAGTTTTAAAAATTGCTTTAATTTGCATATCATTTTAATGCATGTTTGCACACAGCAACACTGTTCCAAATTTTTGCATTTGCGACTACATGGTACGTGTTGTTGTTTTTATCATGTTGTGATTTTCTCAGTTTTCGTAGTTTTCTCTGTTGATTTGGTTGTTGGAAATTTTTATGAAATTCGGTAAAAAGTGTAAAATACGACATATTTGCAACAAATGCATACAAATTCATATATATATTTATAATTATTATAAATGAAATAATTATTAATGCAAAAAATCAAATTAATTGAAAATAAAAAAATAATTGAAAATAAAGAAAATTTCGCCTATAACAAAAAGAAAAATTAATAGTGTATGTTAGTCAGTCAGTCAGTTTAACAAAATAGAGGAAAAAATCGAAACGAAACTTTCTTTTTCACCACTTAAGGAAACAAATCTCCATATTTATTTAAAGATATATTTCTAATGCAAGCAAAATTTAAAATATATAATAATACACATAAAAATAATATATAAACAAACGTTTTTATAATTTCAATTAACAAAAAATTATTTGAGTTACACTATTTACGCCTTCTATTGCCTCCCACATAAGCGTATTAACGCTTTAAGTAACGCGTTGCGCCGCTTCATATTTTGCTGGTGCTCCACGGTAGCAAAATGAAAAAGATTTTTTCTAAATTTGATAAAAATGAAAAATTGGACAACTCACATAATCACTCCGTTTCGAAGGAAACCAATAGTTTTGTGGGCAAAGTATTTACCGTTGGACGAGTTATAGTTACTGTAGAAGATGTTCTCGCAGAAGGTAAGTTCCTTGAACAACGTTCTTGCCAGTTTGTGAATAGTCTTAGTGTCTTACATTGTCACTATAAGATTTCGTTTATGTATTTATTTATTTATTTTTTTTTTATAAAAATTAAATAATTATAATATAATTACATATGACAATTAAAATTGAATTAGTATATTTTTATTTAAGCTGACTTCCAATGACTTCTTAATGATTTCGCAATAATAAGAATAAATTGAGTAAAGTCATTTTTATATTTAATAAAACAAATCTTGTTATAATTTTATAAATTTATATATATGTACGTATGTATACATATATTTAAATACATTTAAAATTGTTCTTAAAAATATAGGTATTAAAAAATTAACTTGATTTAAATACGATGAAAATAAACACTGCGTATTTTGAAAGTTAAGATAACAATGATTTTTGTCAAATTAATTATTGTTTTTTCCGGAATTAAATGTATTGTATATAACTTAGATTAAGAAATTTTAAAAAATCAAAAAAATCACTAAGATATAAAATGATTCACACAGATAATAGAAGCAAAGATGGTTAAACACATAAACTTAGCATATTTCATTAAAATCCTTTTTTATGAAATAATGTTTTACCACAATCTTTTGAAAATAAAAATGATCACTGATAGATAATAAATCAGAATACTCAATTTACTAATAAGTCTGTTGTAATCTGTTAACTATATAAACCTACAATGAAGGTAATTGCTAAAAGGTAGGCTTTTTATTGCAAGTGTAACGAACTTGAAAAATTTAAATATATTGTTGGAGATACTAGAAGAAGACATAAAAAAAAATATATTTACCAGAAATTCTATCTGTGTTCTAATGTTATATATCACCAAAACAATTCCTGGTTTCTTTTGTAATATAAGCTTTTAATAAGTTGGTAATCTTCATCTTCTTTGTGCTTATGAGCAGTTTAACATATGCTCAAATAGTATTGATTTTTGCTTTAGGAATATATACATCGTTATATTAATCTAATTATTTTTTATATTTAATTACATATTTTATGCTTCAGAACAAAATTTATATATGTGATGTCTTTGTTTTATATAATTTTATTAACTTATATGTGTTAAGAAAATTTCAACACATAGGTTATATTGGTTGATTATATTTCTTTATTAAATGTATTATAAAATATCAATTATCATATTTTGAAATTATTTTATAATTCGATTTGTAGTCATTTTTAGTCTTATGTGTCTTATATGAAACCATCATTAATATTGGTATACAGTATGAAATAAGACTGGTGCCAACGAAGTTTCCAGATTAGACCTCCAAATTTTTTCCTTAATTAATCAAACCGAACTTTGTTCCTAAAGTAATTATACGTATTAGCAATAATCTGATTACTCACGTCATTATAAACAACTGTTTTAGAAAATCTGTTATTGAAGAGATCATATAAATTAGTAATAATTTCATTATTATTATTATAATATTTCCACAAATTATTTAAAAATATCTGTTATTAAAGATATAATATTTCTGATATTATAATATTTATAAAATAAGTTTCATAAAATCTGCTTTTAATATGATTATTCAGGTTAGCAATAATATGTAATAAGACTCTATTAGAAAATCTGTTATTGAAGAGGAGAATATACGCTTTATAGTAATTGAATTTATAAAAAATTCATTTCATTTTTCTAAAGCAAAATACGTTGATTGTGAATTTATAAACTTATCTAGAAAAACATATGTTAAGAAAATTAAATAACTTATTAACATTTTTCTTTTTTTCAAAACGTAATGAGAAACTGTAAAATTTGAAATTTTTCTAAAATATGTATTAGTAGCAATATAAGTTATATAAATTTAATTTCCGTTAATATTTTAAAATAATTAAAAAACTTATATGCTATTAGCTTAGCTTCTAAGTTAAAAATATTTTAAAATTTAATTGTTGGTTTCTCACATCACACATTTTCTGCAATTGTGGACGCATTCATCTTGGGAAAGATATGCATTACAACATATGAAAAAAAGTCGTTTATGTTACGCAGTTGGTTCAATAGGTTCAATAGATTCGCTTTGTATAATATTCCCGACATAATAATTATGATAACAAATAATATAAGCAACGCTCAAATTTGATTCACATTACATAATATTTCCTACCTAATAATTAAAAAAACTTCTAGGCTGTTAAGTTTTTTGATTATTATTATTAGAAATTTTTTTTCCGAAGCTCCTACAGAAGCTTCAGAAGAATAGCACTTGCCCTTTGATATTAACGGATGGCTCGGGAAAATAGACTCGGTCGTTCTTAGAGCCTAAAACTATTCACTTTTAAATAGTCGATAGTATATAATCTATTATTTTGATTATTAATTTGAAGATTTGCTACAACTTATGCCTTAAGACTTGCTGAGGTCTTTTGTTCAGCTTTATATTTCATTCTCAGTTTTAGATTCTTACTCTTACTATTTAGAATCTAACCTGTAGTAATAACAGGTTAAGTTTTATTTAAACCTCAGATTTAAAATCCAAGAGTCCTCGATAGTTTGTTTGGCTTCTAGTCACAGTAGGATAAGTACATGGTATGTAAACCTTATAACGAACTAAAGAACCATCGTTAACTAGATCTTTTATAATTTGTATGACATTTGAGTTTATAGTTTTATGTCATTAATTTAAAGCAATTTAAGCTTTAATTTATTTATGGTTGATTAGCGTGTTTACTTTGAACTTTTCAGAAGTCAGTAAAGCTGTTTTATCCTCCTTCCTGAATAAAGTTTTTTTTTTTTGAAATTATGGTTAAATCCGCATAATGATCCGGACGCTATATATGGATTGCATACTCTTTTTTTGCTAACAGTCTGTCCTTTTATAATCTATGTTTCCCTTATGAAGAACTCTTATGTCCATTTTTCTGAATAGATTTTCGGAAATTATTTTGTTCGTTATATTTTCAAATTAATTTTGTTGGTGTGGTAAGTAACTTTAAAGATTTTAGAACATAATTTCAATGATGACTCCAATTTAAATAATTAAACTATTTTGTAATAAGAAAACTATTTTTAAAAAATTAAAATTTTAATACGAAAATATGAATAAAAAATAAATCAAATGAACTTCGAAACGTGGTTGGTATTTATACGGATAATAACTATATAAAATAAATTAAAAATAAAAAGCCAACTAACAGATAAGCTTTTAACAAGATAAATAATACTATAAAAAGTGAACTCAGAACTATTTTAATATAGTAAATCGAAATTTCTTATAAACATATTGTTCTTTTTTTTTTTTTTTATAAATATGAGTATATTTATATGTGCATTTTCTTTAATTTATTTAAATAGGTTTTTTCTTTTTTAATTAGTTAATAAATTATATATATAAACACATGTACAAATAACCGATTTAATCCTTTTCATTTTATTTCTATTTTAGAGTAATGAACAAAAATATCTGCACTAAACATTTATAGCATACATTTTCATTAGAATTTGGTATATTTCTCACCAGTTTATCTTGAAATGCGTAATGATTTATATTATTTCAAGGTGTTTATAGTAAAAAACTTGTTGTTATATTAAATACTACTGACATAAATCAGCCGATAAGATAAGAATTCATGTTTTCTTTAAACATTTTTTTATCAGTTTATATGCATACATGTATATATTTGGTATTAAATATTTTTTATTATAAAGATTTTAATATCTTCTTAAGTGATAAAGAAACAGATTCGAATTTCATTTAAGTTAAGGAGCCTATAACTTTTTTCCATATATTCATTATATTTTACATTCTTCATACTTAAAAAATTTGTTTGACAACAATACATTCTTATTTTGATGACGTAAATAAATAAATAAATAAATAATTAAGTTAATTAATGAGTAATCATAGGAGCGAAATATGTATGCAGTATAATTTGTTGGGCGTTTTGACTATATAAATCAATTTATTGTACAAAAATAAAAAATAAAAATAATATATGCATTATCACGTATATGACGTGTCCAATTTGTTTACATACACTATGGTATATGTATACATTATATGCAGTTTCAATTTACAATCGATTTGCAAAAACAAAAAAAATTATTTATAAATACTTGCTAGGGAAATATATTTTGGTATAAACAGATTTATTTTTTAATTAATATATCTTAGTTTTAAATCAAAACTGTTATACAAGTGTTATATTGGATCTTTCAAAAAGTAAATTTGTTTCCTTTTTTGGTGATAATGAAATGTGTTTTTCTAATAATATATAAATATTTTATATAATTTACTTTTAATGTGCTTTGGATCATTTATTTTACTAATTAAAAATTAAATTAAATTATTTTTGTGAAATATATTGTTAAAATTCTTTTCACTAAAACACATTTTTCACAAATATTTCGATCTAGCTCGTAGATCACCTTCAGTATGAAGATGTTTTCACGGTCATAAAACTTTTAATATTTTTTGAAAAAAAAACTAATTGAAGTAATTTTTGATGATCACTTTTGAAACACCACTTTTTTTGCCATCTAAAAAATTTTGTAGAGACGGTAACAAATGACAAATTGTAAGTGATAGATCTCTAGACAATAAGCTGGGCACTTATAATGTGTATGAATTACATACTATCCAAACTATTAAAGCTTTTGTTAAGTTATCAAACTTATATGAGATCTCGCATTAATTTGATGAATTTTACCAGTTTAATGATAGCATACTTCAAAATGATATTGTCAAATAGGTCAGAGAATATTATAAAACGAAATTAGAATATTACCCAAGAGAACAATTATAATAAAGAGATGTACGTGACAAAAAAATGATGACTGTTTCTATTAATTTAGAAGTAGAAGTATAGATAGATAGATATAGATATATATACATAGATAGATAAAAATAGATTAATTTGTACTAATTGAATTTATAAAAAGTTTTAATTCTTGAAACTCTTTTGCCTACTAACAGGTTTCCAAATAGAAATGCAGATGTACAGACAAATACACAAAAAGT